GGTGTGTCCAGGAGAGCTTGTCTTGGTGTTCAGAAACACTTTGCCAGTTTCACTTCGTGTACTCTAATGCTTTGCAAACATCTAATTGCATGAGCCTTTTCCTTCAGTGTTGCCAGAGGATTTCAGAGTGTTTCACAAGCAACAGAAAAGTTTCTCCAGTGGCGATTAGACTGGTAAAACAACTTCACAAAACAAGCGAAACCCATTCAAAGTGTGGGTATTAGATAACAACTGAATGGAAGACAACTGTATCTTAAATCTTTAGAATGACTCATGTTATGGAGAAGCATCCAAGTGCTGCAGCCAATTCAGAGCAGTCGCAGTTGAAAACTGCACAGCTGCAGTAAACAGAGATATATCCAGAGAGGAGAAAAACTTCCTGCTCTCATGATGCAAATCACATCACTTTGAAACTATGTTGTCAGTGTCCTTCAAACAATGAGCAGGATCTGACGTCTACAGTATTAATCTGATTTATGCTAACATTGTTGAGTGGCACAAAACATTACTAAGTCCTTCTCAAGTGTCATCATCTGCTTAGCACCTCTCTTCAAAGGGATATGAGCATAAAGGAAACTCTGTATTACTGGAACTGAATTTCTAAAATTTATCTCCAAAAAAGACAGAATGCCATAAATCTGTTGCACAAATCATTAGACTCAGTTATGACCTGAGCTATTTTCTATGTTCCTTACAACTGCTGAGACAAAAGTTACATTAGAAGGGATCAGTTTAAATCTCAAATGAACTGAGAGGACATCCTTCTTCCATGGTGTTAAGTGAGAAAGATAAAATGACCACTCAGAGATGTGACAATGGGCATTGTCAAAATTCCCAAATCCCACCTAATTGCCAAGGTGTAATGTTTCCTGTTAGCTGGTTCTAATACACTCTTCCAGTTAAGGTGTTAGTTGGGCTTGACTGTCAAGGCACAGGGTGACTGATGACTTGCAGTCACCACTGCACACAAAACAAACAACAGAAACACACATAGGTTACAAACAGCTTGGAAAGCAGGAAGAATATTTTTCACATGATGCTACATTTGGCTTTAATCTGTGACAGGTCTTTTTGCTTGAAGGATAGCCTCGTAGCACTGCTAGCAGACAGGCCTCCTGCTTTTCTAAAGGCATAGTCTGCAGATTCTCTCCATCTCTGTTGCTTTTCCTGCATCCTTCTTGTTCCTTCTCTGAGCGTTGGACACAAACAAAGAAAATGCTGCCGTATCGAGGCCTGTAGTCTGCTGTGTAGCAGGACTGAGCAGTTGGGTAGAACAAAGGAGGTTTCAACTCAGGGTGGTGGCCCAGAAACCAATGATGTTCTCATTCAAATCCTAAAAGAATAAACGAATATAACTCGAGGAAGTGCAAAAGAGTAAGAATATATAAAGAAAGTGCAACTGAGGGGAATCTTTTCTATAGAGCAGGGTTTTGTTAGGCTCAAACTCAGGAGCAAGAAATGGGAATTTTGAGTGAAAGCTCATTGGGGATAAACGCGATGAGGTTAGCTAGACAAGAACGCTTGAAATGCAAATACCACTCCCTGAATGACTCGAAATACCTGTTCTGTGGTGGCACAGGAGCACAACTCAACAATGAGAAAATGACAGAAAACATTTCTCTCATCTCAAAGCACAAATGGCATTCAGATGCTCCTCTTTAGCTACCCTACAGACCCAACAGACTCTGTTTCAGTTCTGTGCACGTACTTTTTATTCTCTGATGTTGTTTCAAAGCAGTGAGTATACCGAAAAGAAAAACTCATATTGAGCATGGCTAAATATAAGTTAAAATCTTTAACACTTTATATCTTACAGGAAGACCAAAGCATCCCCAATTGCACTCCTACTTTCAAATCAGTCTAACCTAAGATCACAAAGCTTTGGTGATGACTTTTGATTCACCATCTGAACAGCAAAGGAGAGAGCTGGAGTGGGGCCACTGTTACAAGGAGTATGACTGAGTTTAAACAAGAAAGTATTCTTCACATCTTTACTCCTGTAGCGAAACTGTTGCAGGGCATTCATCAGAGAAAAGTGTGCTGACTGTTGCCCTTCGGCATTTCTTAAAAACGGTCGAATAGACTACAACTGCGGCTGCAGAAAGGGAAGCTACTCATGCAAGGCTTACTTCTGATGTATTCGCAGCTGGAGATGGAAAAGATAATGCCCTGTGTGCATGATGGTACGGCAAATATCTATTTTCCTATGTGATCCTGCATTTCTCTGTTCACCTTCCTGAATACCTCTCCAAGTAACTTACCAACCCTTTGAAATAGACGAAGTGATTTACCCAAGGCCACATGGACCTAATGCCTAAACCAGGACCAGCTTTCACAAACTGCAGGCAGTAGGTCTCTGTTGGAGCTTGCCTTTGCCAATTTTAAGCCTTCCTGCCACTACCCGTGTGACTCCTGAAATGCTGTCCTCGCCCTGCACAGCAGCCGAGGGCACACGAACAGAACAGGCAACAGCAAAGCATGGCTGTTCTCTCCTGCAGACCTGGGGCTGTGGCGACCCAATTACAGCTCCTGGCCCGGCCGGGGCCGCCGGCAGC